TTGCCAAACAAGACAGCGAAGCATGTTGATTAACACTTCCGTTTGCTAAACCAAACCAGTTTCATTATTCTCCCCCTTCTTACGGACATATACCCAAACAGGGATCGATTTTCGGTTTTGCATGTATTAATGTTCGCTAGAGTCCGTAGGTTTGCTTCATCATGTGCCGCATATTAAGCCGCTCGGATACATTCCTAATTCTTTTAGCTTGGTGATTGGTTGAAAACATCCCAACCTCATGTCAAACTAAAAATAGCCAGGCACATCAAGGGTATATACTTCAGAACGTGGTAAGTGACCCGCGAGATCAGGTGACCATGCAGGATGGTGCGCTATATTATTGCAGCAGTTAATTTATAATGGATCGTATTTGGGCACGCTTGAAAACTTATTAAATATGTGATACGCAAAATGTTTGTTGTTCAACTTTTATGACACATAAATAAGGATTGATCGATGCTGATTTTCTTTACCGAGTTTGGTAAACAGTAAAGTACCGGTCATTAGCGAATCTTACCGCAGTAAGGCTGTGTGGATTATGTGGTTTACATCACTTCCTGTTTTGTATTTTGCATAATCAGTATGCATACGACCGAGGTTGGTTCAAGGGACTTCGTCTGAACAAATGGGTTCTTTTCTAATCAATTTCGAATTGAGGTACGGGTAATTCCACTTCAAAAACATCCCAGAAACTATCATAAAAAACTTAACGTGTATACTTGCAAGTAGCCGTGACACACCGCAAGGAGTCCTGTATTCGATCATGCGATGAAATATATCGTGCTAAGATTTGCATAAGTTAACAGTCGGCAGGGTGTGTGGATTACGAGATTTATCAATACAGTGATACCGTGATACTGTATATGATAAAGAACAAATGCGAACACTTGAATGTAAGCACTGTTTTTATTTAGCAGACTCTGAACATTTAGTTATTCTACAACAGACTTATCCAGATGTTAATAATTCATTCTTTGGTGAGTTATATTAAGAATTGCAAAACACATTTTGCCAGAACAGTTATCAGTGTAACTGACATGTTTAAACATTTATAGCACCTGAAACATGTTGACTAAATTTATCAAGGAAATGCTGGATCCTGAATACACTCTTTCTAAAAAATGTTTGATATGCCAATTATGTCATGACTCATTGATGTAACTGTCGGTTATGACATGAACTCACTACTCAGTACAGACGCATCAGAACAGCCATTGAACTTGACTGAATCCATAAACTTCAAATCATTGGTAGATCTAGATATAAACATTCACAAATGTCTGTCCCAATGACCCCTTACCAATGGTTGATGACCCGGCCGTTTACTGCCTTTCCATTTACGAAGTTAGACATTAACATGGATAATTTTGTGTTGAAATTGTTTGTACCTTTATGTAAACCTCTTAGTCATGAGCAGGATGCGCCCTGATGTGAACCTTTCTCTCACTTTGCCTGTTTGTTGATATTTTGCAGTTGAGAAAATATTTCTGATTTTTCACAACCACTGTTCTGTTGTTAATGTTATGTTACAGGGCCTAGATTTTCGAAACGATCTTAGCTAAGATAAATCTTAACAACTTACGTTCAAAGATAAGATATCTTAAGGTTAAGATAAGATAGATTTTCGAAACTATCGTAAACCTGTCGCAGATCGTTCAGAGTTACGATACCTATCGTAACTCTGACAAGGAACTCATTTGTGTTAGAGATTGAAAAAGCGGGGTGTTTCCCAATGACGTCACGGGGATTTCCCAGCTGCTGACAATAGCAACAACATAGATAAGTGACACGGAATTCATGATCGCATTGTCAGGTCACATTGTTTAACATGCACATATTTGAGTGAAATTCTGTACAATCCTACATATGTCCTACATGTAGACGTTTTGTTCTTATGATAAAAGATGCCATGACTACCGGAACACAAATAACATTCGTGTGCCATGCAATAGCATTTTTCAAAACCAATAAATTTTGTAATCAGTAAGTGTAGTGTTACCGCAATTTAGCTACTAGAATTGAAATAACGTGCCAAAAGATACTTCACTATTTTCCCTTCAAATGGTCCTGTCGTGAGCGAGCAGAACTTTATGATATAAACATATCGCGTACAAAGTCAAGGACGAAAGTAATGGACATTATTCTAAATGACAATGACGAGACCTTTGACCGTACAGCATATGCGTTCAGCATTTAACATGCGTGTTCAAGTCTGATGTAAGGTGATGTATAAGGTATATTTTTGTGTTTATATCAAAGTCAAGTTTATTTTAGTGTGAACACCAACATTAAACGTGGAAACACTCAAAACAAAAATTGTTCAGGAAGCAGCGCACCCACAAGCAAGTTTTTACGACAATCTAAGCTTGTTAAGTTTGTTTTGTTATTTATGTATCCAATATATTTCACGAATTAACCAAGGACTTAAATACAATATCAAGTTATTAGTATTTAGATGATGAAATTATTTCTTTTATTTATCTATCTAGATCAATAATTCTTTTCAAAATTTAACAGTGACGCTAATTTTCGTTCGCAAAGAGAGATAATTTCGGAATTGTCAAGTTATATTGTCTCATGGAACACGCCACAAGTTAACGTGAACACACATATAATGTCATTTTCTATCCTTTTAAATTACGTAGAGCTAATAAACTGGTTTGTCTGATTTAAATCTGGCTGAGGAGCGAAATACTTTGTAATGTGTCAAATCTATTCCAGAACGTAGTTCAATGATGTTTGGCTTGTCTGACAGAATTGCTGAGAATAATTTACTAGTATTTATCCGTTGACCCTATACGTTTACGATGGTATTGTCTGAATGGTCTCAAGTATATCTATATCTTATTTTAAACATAAAACGGGATGATGTAGACTTAAATATTAAAAAGACCAAACTATTTTAAAAGCGGTTTATTGAATGCAAAGATTATTGTGTTGAAAATGTGTAATTTATATTGATCAGTCAATTTCATTCAAAAAACATTTTTTCTACGAACATATTTTGGAAAGTGAATTTTGGACAATGTGCAAACTATGCTACATTTTGACGAGAACCCTAACGAGCATGGGAACCCATTTTTATTTGATTTGTCGATACGAAAATCTGTGCTTAACTTTTGCTGTCATAATTTCAGTAAATTGTTATATTTAATGGAATACATCTATATGCCGTTAATCACCTGTTTTTAAAGAATGCAAATGTTCAACAGACAGTTTTTAATCACTTTTTATCAAATATTGTCTTTCAATAGGATATAGATAACATAGGTATTGAATTTTAAACGAAACAAATTACATATTTGATAAATATTTGATCACATGTATTTCCTTGTTAAGTCAATAAATACTACACTGTATAGATAAAATTCAATTATTAAAACCATCCGTCCCACACGATTTTAGATGTAAAAACTTATGCGAAACCTGTATGGTTTTTTTTACATATGTAGATTGATATAATTTTATAAAATGCGAAAATAAAGACTAAAGCATTGACACAAATGTGATCCAGAAAATATAACAGCGGAACTCTGCGCTTTATGAAAACTGTAACATTGAGCAAGGTGTCCCGGGGGGAATACAAAGGGAAACCACTCTTAACTAGAGTTTGAACTTAGTTTAGCTCCCCCTGAGTTATCAATAAGGTCACGGTCATTACTGTAGCCTGCCGACACCTTCCGTTTTTATCCTTCCCAAATTATCGAAAAGGTATGTTGTTTCACACTTCTTCAGCATGGACTTGGATAGAAAAATAATGTAAGCCATCGACTCCACCTTTATGTGTATCGCTGTCGCGATTAAGAACATTTTTGACGTGAAATCCTTGATGCGTACTTCGTGTTTTCGAAGTGTCAATTTGAATCACTCAGTTTTACAAAATTAAATGTCAATGTTTGAACGTAAAGCGGACTAGTTGTTTGGCACAATATCTATGGAAAAGTATGCCGCCATCTTGTATGAAGATAAAATAAACTTACGACAGGTATAGAGCTATCTTAGATATACGACAAACTTAAGATATCTTAGGGCTACGATAGTTTCGAAAATAGGCTACGATAGCCTACGATTTCCTTACGACAAATTTACGATAATTTTAGGGCTACGATCGTTTCGAAAATCTAGGCCCAGTGCTATAAGTTGGACCCATCCATTTTTGTTTGGGACCCCTAATTTTATGATGAAGGGTTCCAAGTGACCCCAAGAAAAATTAAGCCAGAGCAGACACTGCTTATTCTGCATTACTATGTCTAGGGCCCACACATTGCAGACCTACCTTTCCACAATTTCTTCAGATGTTAAAGATAAAAGATTTCCGTATAAGCAGTGATACGCTGATTATTGGGAATCACACGGTCTCATCTGCTTTTTTCTGCATCACACTTCAGTGAAACAACTTCTTTCTCAGCAGGACCCCTACAGCTTCGTTTTCTGTCGAAAGTAAGCCTTAAATCTGTGGGATAACTATTGCCCTGTGTTGTTAGTATAAGAAATAATCTACATACAATTGGATATATTCATATTAGTATACTTACTTTGACGACACGTAAAGATCCAGGGTAGAATGGGTCTTCAGCAACCTCTACTTGTTGTAAAAGACAAACCTGCTTGTCATAAGAGGCAACTAATGGGATCGGGTGGTCAGGCTCGCTGACTTGTTGATGCATGTCATCGTTTCTCAATTGCATGAATTGATGCTCATGATGTCAATCACTGGATTGTCTGGTCCAGACTTGATTATTTACAGGCCTCTGTCATATAGCTGGAATATTGTGAGTGCAGAGTTAAACAACAAACAAAACTTATCCTGACACAAGACCAGGGCCCGCCCCAGAGGTGTAAGAGACACATTTTGGGTTTCACTGTTCTAGGATCAAATTCCAGAAAGATTGCAATGTGTTGTCAGGATAAGTATACTAATATAATTATCTAAATTCATTTAATATTATTCTGAATAAGCCAAGTATTGTGATTCATGTTAAAATATGCTTTCAATTTAGGTGTATATATAATCAACTTGAAGAAAACATGGGAGAAGATGCTTCTTGCTGCCCGAGCTATTGCTGCAATAGAGAATCCAGCAGATGTGTGCGTAATTTCAGCACGACCATATGGACAGAGAGCTGTTCTGAAATTTGCCTCTGCAACTGGTGCTACTCCAATTGCTGGCCGTTTCACTCCAGGAACCTTCACAAACCAAATCCAGGTACAATTAGCATTGTGGATCATAGTTCTTTTCTCTTCCATAGTGTTTAGTGGTTAAAAAAACAGACAGAGTACATTGGCCCCTGACCAAAGGCTTCCTGTGCACAACAAAATACACAACTGGAACATACTGGGAAACTGTATGGAGCTCTTACTGACCGCAGTTTATTCATCAGCACACATTTTCAGCATCAGGGGCAGTCGGGTAGCCTAGTGGTTAAAGCGTTCGCTCGTCTCGCAAAAGACACGGGTTCGATTCCCGACATGGGTACAATGTGTGAAGCCCATTTCTGGTGTCCCCCGCTGTGATATTGCTGGAATATTGCTAAAAGCAGCGTAAAACCATACTCACTCACTTTCAGCATCAGCATTATGACCATCTACACAGCTTCTGTAGGCATCATTTATTAGTTTAATTGTCCCCCGCCGCGCAAAGCGCGAAGCGGGGGATATAGTATTCACGACCGTCCGTACATCCGTCCGTACGTCCCACCTGTTTGTTGCCGCGATATCTCAAGAACTAAACACTGGATTGTCTTCATATTTGGAACTATGGTGTATATACAGACTCCGCAGACACCAGTCGGTTTTGGTGACCTTGACCCCATTTTCAACGGTGTTGCCGCGATATCTCAAGAACTAAACACTGGATTGTTTTCATATTTGGAACTATGGTGTATATACAGACTCCGCAGACACCAGTCGGTTTTGGTGACCTTGACCCCATTTTCAAGGTCACAGCAGGTAAATCTGCTTTTAGAGTTGGAAAACGGTGTTGCCGCGATATCTCAAGAACTAATCGCAGGATTGTCTTAATATTTGGAACTATGGTGTATATACAGACACCGCAGACACCAGTCGGTTTTGGTGACCTTGACCCTATTTTCAAGGTCACAGCAGGCAAATCTGCTTTTGGAGTTAGAAAACGGTGTTGCCACGATATCTCAAGAACTAATCGCTGGATTGTCTTCATATTTGGTACTATGGTGTACAGGCGGGGGATATTTCGTCACTCTGTGACAAATACTTGTTTTTTACAATTTTTATGGAAAGAAGTTGGACCTAGACTCCATTGGGGAACGGGTTCGTTTCCGGGCCAGAATTTGAAAACCATTCAGTGGGTAAACAATGTATGCTTCTTAAAGAACATTCAACTCTTGACTCATTACATACAGAATTGCACATTTACTAGTGGTTACTTTACAGACAGCTGCCAGGGGGATATGTCATCTTTCTGATGACTCTTGTTAATTATGTCTCCCCCAGAATGGAGGGAGACATATTGTTTTTGGCACGGTTCCCGTCGGCGTCGGCGTCAGCGTTCCCACTGTTTCCGGACCATAACTCAGAAACCGTTTAATATTTTTTCGCGAAACTTTGTATACACATTAACCCAGCACTGAAGTGGTGCCTTTTGCTATTTAGAGATTTTTGACATTTTTATTTTTTCTCGTTTCCATGGAGATAACTTGAACATAGACTCTGAATGGGGGTAAGCTTGGTTTCCGGACCATAACTCAAAAACTGTTCAATATTATTTCATGAAGTTGTAACACATTAACCAAGTCCTGAAGTGGTGCTTCTTGCTATTTAGAAGTTTTTCACATTTTATTTTTTCTTGTTTATGGAGACAAGTTTAACTCAGACTCTGTATTGGGATGGGCTTTGTTCCAGAGCTAAACTCAACACCCCTTCAATATTTCTGTGTCTTTTGCTTATAATGAAATTTAAGAATTTGATCTTTTCAATATTATTGAATTCAAAGCAATTCTAGAATGAAAATATTGTGAATTATTTTTGTGGGAATGAACAGATGGGGTTTAACGTGAAGTAAACGAATGAATGGGGGTTAGGGGAGTGGGGGGAGACATATGTTTTTACGAGTAAAAACACTTTCTAGTTTTATTCAATATTTTGTTCATTAAAGTTAACATTGATTTCGGCGAAATCTTGTTTCCCTTGGATATTTACAACTTACAACTGTTAACCCTGTTCCATAAGGCCTGCTTTACCAATACCGTGACAGTACCAACTCTCTATTCTCAACAACCACGATCATATTACGCTATGGACGTCTTGAAACAAACCTTAGTTGACAGAGAATGGATACATATATCATAACTGCCATACTTTGACTGATAAGTCATATTTGTTGTATGACGGTACTGGTCAAATTGTTCCATACAAAGCAACACGGTACACAAGGAAATGAGCACCGATAATAACGGGCCGATTGGTATTGTCATGTTGTTTACGCAAACATTTTCAAGTTGTGGGTGCTTAGCGATCGTGTTGGGAGTAGGAGCTTAATTCCTTTGTTTTCGAGAGATTAGTTTAATAAACTTGAGAAGCCTGTGAGTAAGGGATGGTCATTCAATGTGTTCATAGTTTATTTAATTCAATTGGATAAACATACAATAGTGGTATAAAGGGGGTTATAAAAGTTTGTATATTTATACTGACTGACATTCTCATCATGAGTTTGAAACGAAAACGCCATGCTTACGATGCTGAATTCAAACTGCGAGTCTTCGCTCTAGGTGATATATTTTCCCACGAGTTCATAATTCTATATACACCGATTCACAAAATGGCGCTTCGTTGTTGATGGCAACATATAACGATCATTATGAGATTTTAAAAAAAACCAAGAGAAACAGCTTCCCACATTATGAAAGTGGATGACTGGTTTGTTAAATCTGTTTTAGAAATAATGACGTTTTCAATATAATTACAACGTTTTTCATCTTATATTTTTGAATATCTGCGAGAACCAGCACTTGTCTTGCAGTCAGACTTGGCAGTGTTTTTTGCCTTTCACTTCCTGGTTCGGCTTATCTGCGGGTCATATCATTTTCTTCGTATTTCAATGGTCAAGTTAACACCTCGGCTTATCTACGGGGTCAGCTTTTCCGTGGTCATATACGGTACATGTATGCGAAAATAAACCACATAAGGTGACATAAAATCAGGGTGTGTGGCATCTTCCTGAGGCAAGAGTTAACTGACTTTAAAAGTCCAGTTTCCACCCTTGCCGAACTAGACTGGAATTCCTGGGCTCGATCGTAGCGCCACCAGTGGCTATTACCGGTTATATCCCTTCTAAGCCTCTCCTATGGACCAGCCAGATTCAACCTCTCGTATCACTTGTTTGCTTCACACAAAATGGTGGCCCCGAGTCAGGACGATCTGATCGATAATCAAGATCTATATTGTGATAAAACGGGTCTTACATCGCGAAATGCATCCAATCACGTGAGCACCTTGATTAAAAGCATGAAAAGATTTAGAAAATATCTGTTGACAACGAGTTGGCGGTGCACATGCTTTGCAAATTCTGCAATCGACCGAAATAAGCACGACAGTTTATGAACCGGATTTCGATTTCGGTGCACGATTTTGATTGGACTATGCTTGGACTTGTTAGTCCAGCCAAATTGTAACTCCATTATACCAGCCTAGTTCGGCAAGGGTGGAAACTGGACTTTTAAAGTCAGTTAACTCTCTTGCCTCGGGAAGATGGGTGTGTGGCGGACAGGATAAAGTACATCTGACAAGGGTAATCATGTATACAGGGACATTTCTTTTCACTCCACCCAGAAGGTTAAGACATAGGATATGATGAGGACCTATACTGACTGAATAATCAGAAACCCATCAAATGATCAAGGATGTCAAATCCAAAGCTGGTGATGATCTGCATTTATTTTGAATTTTTGTACGTCATATTGACTGATAGACCAATACCTGTTGAACACATTTCACAATGGTTTAGGGACATGCATGAGCATCACTGTCACACACGAGAGCATACTACAACAAACCTTGTAAGTCCTGCCAGACTATTACACATTATTTTATTGGTGAGAGCCCAGAAAGAAATACATAAGGTAGGATATTTCCATGTGCTTTTCTCCAACAGAACTGCAAGAATTTTCTATCTGCCCTATTCCTTTTTCAATAGATAACATTCTCTTATAAATATAGGGCTAACTTATAAGCTTAAGTGCTGCCCTGGTTCTTGTGATTAAACAAACAAAATCTCATGTACTGTTACAAGAAATTACTGTATCGTATTCATATTACAATTATATTTTAGAATTGTTTTGTTTGGGAACACTTCATACACAAGAGATTAATGTCCATATGAGTTGTGTATGTGTATGTTCATAAGGATATTTTCTATTTATTTAGTTTTCATGGAATAATAAAATTAGATAATGACATCAAATAGCTACTTATTCACATAAAAGATAATTGTTGAATAAAATGTTTAAACTAAAGATAATAATTGAAGTTTGATCAGTTACACTGTGCTGATGCATTGACCAATATCTAGTGTCCATACACATAATCATTATGAGGAAAAATAACTACTAAATGTAAACATATAACTTACTATTTTTAAAGCTCTGAACAGCTGTAAATAGTTAAATGTTAACAAATCTATTATCAAAATGCAATCATGACAATCTTTATATTTCTGAAATAAATGTTAAATGCTCCGTGAAATTGTTCTAAAATCATGCTAGAATCGATAAATGTATTACAAAAGGAAACATTCTTTAACTACTCCACATTTAATTAGAAACTAACACTGAAAATATGTATGTAGTATCTTATTAATACATCATGCACATGCATATATCTATCATATTCGTCATTTGGTGAATGCTATTTTGAAACACTTTGTCACGCCTATTTTCGCGGACCTTTTGTGGAGGGTGATCATTGCAGATTGACAATATCTTTTGACATATTACCTGGGACACAACTATTATAGTGAAAACAATCATCAGCATGGACCTCGCAGATACATGAATTCTATCCCTTGATATTCAATGTAACATCGAAGGAGAAACTTGCATGTGGTGTGTTCATTCATCATCTACCATTTCCACATCACTGGAGCATGCAAGGTCAAAGGGATGAAATGTGCCAATTATATTGTCAAGTCACATTGTTATTTCATATTAGTGATGATTATTGATACTATGAACAGAGCTCCAGATAAGCTGCGTATCTGCGTAAAATACGCATCAAAAATGCAGAAATACGCAGTAAAATCAAATCCAAGCATATCAAATACGCAACGAACATTACAGATACGCTACAAAAATAAAACTTGTGCGTATCATCAAAATATTGTGAAGTAACCCTGTGTATGTGAATAGCAAATCAGCAACTTATTTTGAAATTATAAACGGACATTCCGTCAACCTTGCCAAACTCCATGATGACAGTTACATCATGATCATTTGCCATCACACTTTCTTGTGGAAGTATCGTGGTATTTTTGAGTCCTATAAAGCTCTAGAACCCACACGACACCAGTTTGCAGGGACTAGATGAATAGTGTTTATAAATATTTAACTTAAATACCCACATGTGTAAAAACTAGTGGGTAACAGAAATTTGAATACCCAGATAGAATTACTGATACCCAATGATTTTAAAATGCATGTGTAAAATACCCACAACACCAAAAGCTTATCTGGAGCTCTGTATGAAATGATTTGTGTTTATTCTGAATGCAAAATATTTAAAAATTTGCTGTAATTGTGTTGGTACGAAAAATTATCAGCAGACTACCCGTCTGACATCACATCCGGTGACCTTTGCTGAAATATTGCTATCAAAATTCATGATCTTTATTTTGTTTTTCTCACGTCATATTAAACGGAAAATGACAAATGAAACATTCTTCGATTGAGAAGATCGTCAACTTTCGCCAAGGCACAATGTGAAGGCAATGTAAACTTTGTTGATATTTAAACAGCAAGAAGTGACGCAGGATTTTTATTTACGTATATCATTCATATTCAACCAAAACCCTTGAAATTAGGATTGATAAATATTTGTATGTCATTGTTTCCTTCAAATTTTATAACATGACATGTTAGATTAACCCGAATATTCGTATTTCTGCAACTGACATGACCTCGAAAACATTTTTTTTTTTATCTGTTTAACGTTTGGATAATATGACATGCCAAAATAGAACAGAAGATCTGCATCACTTCAGGCTTTCCTCCCACATTAAACTAAGACTACATGATGTAACTGATGTAAATATTGTTCAAAACTGTTTTTAACTAAGCTCGCTCGCTCCCTCACTCACTTGCACAAAACTAACAGAAATCAACCAAAATATTTTTTGGTGTAAAACATTTTATAGTGACTGTCCAATGTAATCGTATTAAAGGCAATATAGCTGTAGAACTCAATCTATTGTCTCTGAAAGACCGTCACCTGTGTACGTTATTATCCCCCGCCGCGCGAAAGCGCGAAGCAGGGGATATAGTATTCACGACCGTCCGTCCGTCCGTACGTCCGTACGTCCCACCTGTTTGTTGCCGCGATATCTCAAGAACTAAACACTGGATTGTCTTCATATTTGGAACTATGGTGTATATACAGACTCCGCAGACACCAGTTGGTTTTGGTGACCTTGATCCCATTTTCAAGGTCACAGCAGACAAATCTGCTTTTAGAGTTGGAAAACGGTGTTGCCGCGATATCTCAAGAACTAAACACTGGATTGTCTTCATATTTGGAACTATGGTGTATATACAGACTCCGCAGACACCAGTCGGTTTTGGTGACCTTGATCCCATTTTCAAGGTCACAGCAGACAAATCTGCTTTTAGAGTTGGAAAACGGTGTTGCCGCGATATCTCAAGAACTAAACACTGGATTGTCTTCATATTTGGAACTATGGTGTATATACAGACTCCGCAGACACCAGTCGGTTTTGGTGACCTTGATCCCATTGTCAAGGTCACAGCAGGCAAATCTGTTTTTGGAGTTGGAAAAACCGGTGTTGCCACAATATCTCAAGAACTAATCGCTGGATTGTCTTCATATTTGGTACTATGGTGTACAGGCGGGGGATATTTCGTCACTCTGTGACAAATACTTGTTGAGATTTAGTTGTTGCAACATTTTCTTGCTATGGAGGTGGAAACTAATTTAAAAATTGTCAAATTCCTTGGCACACAACCACACGTTGTGGTCATTGTCAACTTGACACACTTCACGTTAAGTGGCATGCACTCAAGATTTTTTTTTTTTTTTTTTTTTTTTTTTTTTATATGATCATAATTTAAACTTAATTTTTATCTTAATCTTATCACATTCAGGTAAAGTATGAATGTTATTTGGAAAAACATTTTGTGTCGCACCCATTTTAGCACACATTGTAGACGGTTATCATTGCTGACAGATTATATATGTAGATATGTTATTCCAGACACATTTATTATAGGAGAAAACAATCGGCATACCTCAGTTACATGAATCATATCTTCATATTAAACATAACATCAAAGGATGATCCTTACATCAACAAAAGTTTTAAAAAAAAGAAACTTGACAAACTTGCATGTGCATGTTGATATATCTACTACCGGTCATGAGAACATACAATGTCAAACAGGTTTAATACTTTGCCAAATGGTTTGTCAAAGTATTGTTGATTTAGAAGATCGTTAGCGTTTGCCAAGGTGTATAACTGAAGCAATAAACTGTAAACTTTGTTATCCCCCGCCCCAACGAAGTTGGCGGGGGATATAGAAATGGCTTCCGTCCGTGTGTGCGTGCGTGTGTGTGCTGGTGTGCGTTCCGAAATCGTTTCCGGAGCATAACTCAGAAACCGTTAATAATTTCGCTACGAAACTTTGCATGTTTACCAGACACATACTGAACTGGTGCCTTTTGCTATTTAGGAGTTTTATAAATATTTATTTTTTACGTTTCCATGGCAAGAAGTTGGACTTAGGTTCTATAAGGGTGGTGTTCGTTTCCGGAGCGTAACTCAAAAACCGTTAAATGATTTCTTACAAAACTTTGCATGTTTACCAGGCACATACTGAACTGGTGCCTTTTGATATATAGCACTTTTAGAAATTGTTATTGTTTGTTTCCATGACAACAAGTTGGATTTAAGTTTTAATATAGGATTGGTTTACTTAAGTAGTATAACAAATAAACTGTTAAATATCTACTTGCAAAACATTGCATGTCTATATATAAAGTGCATACTGAACTTGTGCCATTTGATATTAAGGAGTTTTAGAAATGTTTATTTTAGAATTTCAATTGCAGCTATTTTGACATGGGCTAAGAGAAATGTTGGGTCAGTTACCTGGTTTGGGACCATAACGTGTTAAAATGGGCGGGGGATATAGATGACTTTGTCAACTATACGCTTGTTGATATTAGAATGGCAATATGCTGAGGTTGGGCAAAGCTCATGTTTGATGTTCGTCCGTCTGCAAGCATTCTGACACAGAATTGTTGAATGAATATGGAAAATATTCAAGCAGAAACACATGAAATTACGATTGGTGAATATATGCAATTCGTTTGTGTCCTGCAGTGTTTATAACAAACGACATGTTAGTAATATTACAATTTATTTTGCATATGTCCTCCTGGAATCGGACTCTTTGAAGTGATTTCAAGATTAGATCCTGCTTGCAAAAATGTTTTTCTTCAAAATCTGTTCATCCACAGAAAATTGATTTCATTTGGTTTCTTTTGTATGCAGGCAGCATTCAGAGAACCACGCCTCTTGGTTGTAACGGATCCACGTATCGATCATCAGCCAGTCACAGAAGCTTCCTATGTCAACATTCCTGTCATTGCTCTTTGCAATACAGACTCACCACTGAGATATGTGGATATTGCTATTCCATGTAACAACAAGGTAAGTGGATCAACTTAGACCTATAGGTTTTCAGCTCGCTTGACATTGTGTTTGTGAGCTTTTGTTATGGTACTTAAAATCATCTACATTCTACATCATCCTTGTATTGTGTGTAAATTTAATTATGATAAATACCCTTCTGTCACCATCAGTGTTCACGGAAAAAACGCGTTACAATGGACAATACATGCAATAATTGCTATAGAAATTGCATGAATGTCAATGACTGACTGTCGCGCCATCAGTGCTGTTTCATAAGTTATCACCTTGCTAGTAAAGCCAGCCAGTAAAAACACCACTCACCCAAACACAAACAAATCACAACTGTGATCATGGTTCACGCACCACTAAAATCCTGTGCGACACGACCCAAGCGACCTGATAACCTGACATATCCAGCACCCTTATTTGCTATGGTGTTTGGACGTTATACTTGAACAGAGAATTTTTATATATATATGCTTTCAGATAGTTCGTAGAAATCTGTACTACTTAATCTTAAAAGATTAGTATATTCACATTCTCAATGCCTTAATAAAAATGAAGAGGATTATTTAATTAATTTTGAATCGAAAGAAAGTAATTTTTATGGCCTCCCTAAATTTCATAAGAGCGCACAGATCCAAGAAAAATGTCGAACATTGAATTCTACTTATGTCAAAATAGCCCCCGTAAATGATTTAAAATTACGGCCAATAATTGCAGGACCCAAATGTCCCACACACAGAATCAGTGACCTTATGGATAAAGTGTTGAAACCAATCACTAAACATGTTAAGAGCTACATAAAAGATACCACTGATTTTCTGAACCAACTTTCCGCCTAAGTCGAAAATGGTACAAAGTTGGTCAGTTTTGATGTAGTTAGTTTATATTCAAACATTCCCCATGATCTCGGCATAGAAGCTATTGAATACTGGATAAATACACACCGTTCGGAAATCCGAGAAGACATTACCTCGGAATTCATTATCAACAGTATAAAGTTTATTCTAAACAATAATACTTTTAATTTTGATGGTTCTCATTACAAACAAGTTAAAGGCACAGCAATGGGGACAAAAATGGCCCCTACATATGCAACCCTTGTACTTGGTTATTTGGAGGAAAAACTGTACTAAAAAATTGAAGAAAAATTCGGCATTGAATTTGGACAGGAATTTCAAGATAAATGGAAAAGATTTTTAGATAATTGTTTTGTTTTGTGGAATCGGAATGAAAACTATCTACAGTGTTTGATAGATATTTTACAGACACTACATCCAAGTTTAATCTTTACTTTAGAGTGGAGCGAAAATAATCTATCGTTTCTAGATGTAATGGTTACAATTTCAAACAATAACATTGAAACAGATGTATATTACAAACCAACCGATTCCAAGCAATACCTCAATTACAATTCTTGTCACCCCCGTCATACTAAAAAATTACTCATTAGCATGCGCGATAGTATCTAATTAAGATCGTGCACAATATAGACTCGATGAACTGACTGAGGGAGTAACTACTAGAAAGAAACTACCCTAGAAAAATAGTGGAAGACGCAATAAACAAGGCTAAATCACAAAATCGTTGTGATCTATTAAAACCTAAAGATAAACCTAATGAGAATGTTCTCCCTTTTGTTACAACCTTTATTCCCGGACATATTTGGAAGTGTTCGTGAAACACTGTATTCCTTAGACAAGTGTAAAGAACTAAAACAAAAAATATCACAAAATAAACTTATTAAAAGTAAAAGACCGCCAAAATCTGAAACGGATTCTTACTAGGGCTTCTTTCTCAAATGGAAAACAAGAATGTAAAACAGTACAAAAGTGTAACAGACCAAATTGTGGTACTTGCCCTCATGTTTTACAGTGTTGTTCTTTTACATTCAAAGATGGAAAAACTTTCTATGTCCGTGAAAATATGAATTGTGCTTCCCAAAACTTGATTTATGTCATACAATGTGCTGGATGCAAGGCCAAATACATTGGACAGACGGGACACCCTAAGAGCGAGGGTGAGGGTCCACTGACAACAAAATAAGGGACCCCTCTTGTCGGTGTATCCCACTCAGTCAACACATTGATCAATGTGCAGGGAATAAGCACCAAATTTTGTGATATTCCCGTTTTATACAATTATTTTATACAATTACATGTATTGTACATTTTACTGCCACTACAATACTTATTTCTGTATGTGTCGTACACCTGCCCTATCGTTATACGCCTGTCTTATTGTGACATCACAAAGTTAGATTGCACTGTGACGTCATAATATGTTAGAGTGCACTGTGATGTCAAAACAGTGCAACGGTATAACTTTTCTCTTGAAAATCACATGCGTGAAACCGGTTGAGTAAATTATACAGCTCATCTTTGGACTTTCGTATTTTATCTATCTATCTATCTATCTATCTATCTATCTATCTATCTATCTTAAAATTTGAATATACGACTTCACTACTAAAGTTTACCATACCATGAAGAGTGTGTGGTACTAATAACGATGTCTACTGTGTATCACCTTGTCAGAATTGGATCTCAACTTACTAAGCTAAGTGTTCGATAAAGGCGACTGTTCGTCGGTTCAAGGCGTTGTTTACGGTTTTCGTGCATGTTGTTTTTTCCTCCGCTTTGAATCCCAAATGATTGTGTTATCCCCTGTGGCTGTACCTTCATTTTCTTGCTTAACAAGATATTAGTCAATTCGGCAATGGTTACATTGCTGTCCATTGAGGAGGATCGCTGTCCGTCTCGTTTGACTGCTGCGATTCCCGCCTCTGTGCAGACCACAACCCTGTGCATGTGTCTGCTCCCAGACTTCTACAGTTGTCTCGCTTTTAAATAGCCAGTGTACGTTTCTGTCATCTGTATCCCTTCACCTAGACTAAATTCACCTAGTCTATGGAATTTTATTAAACAAATAATTTCCCGATGCGGATACATATGTGAAATAAAGCTAGCTAGAACTGGCTAAACATGCCTTTGAATACATATCTAGTTTGTTGTTTTGTTTGTTATTGTTGTTTTCTCTCAAATAAAATAACAATATTCCACAGTCATCATGTTGGACTACGGCCCTTTGCTCAGCTTGGGAAGTCAAGCCGTCAACTGAGGGTTGCCTCTTCCCCTAACACGCTTGTTACTCGGGTCATCGCTTCTGTGTACAGCTACACCTCTCTGGCTTTCTAATGGCGACAACCCTTCTGACTGAAAACACTACAATCGTTGGTGTGGAAGTGATAGCCAACTGACGACGGATCTTCACTCATAGGATCTTCATCCTTCGCTGGATCGTAAACGACCGAGTGATCAAGGGATCGACAGATCACCATTATCGACAAGACGTTGTTCTTGGATGGACATTTTGCCAAATTGTACCTCAGAGGATTGACAGTTTCGCCTTTTCTACAGATCGCTACCCAAGGGATCTCCACTCGACGTTACACATCTATGCATCGACACATGGACTACCATGTCGGCAGTTCACCAAATCGTACCTCGGAGGATCGACAGGATCATCAACCTTCGTTGGATCATAGATGGCCGAGGGATCGACAGATTGACAGATCATCTTCACCATTATCGACAAGACGCTGATATTGGATGGATAGTTCGTCAGATCGTACATCGGAGGATCGACAGTTTCACCTCTCCTACAAATCGATACCAAGGGATCTCCACTCGATACATTGATACGTCAACACATGGATAAATCGATACATCGACACATCAGCCAATCAAGAACTCGGCCCCTAGTAAGACTTTACCTGCAGGAAGCCTCGGTGGCTGAGTGGGTAAGATCGCTGACTTTGTTTGCTGGCGATTAGGTCCCTTACTCTGGCAGTGTGGGTTCGAAACCCAGACAGGATTCAACCCCATAAAGTACGAGCATATGCACTTTACTGAGAAGATGTTATCCAAGATATAACTTTTGTTATATAAAACAGACGAACGAAGGATCGTCCTCAGTCATAATATTGTCATACTTCCACGGAATCAAGACCTCTCTCATCGTGCATCGGACTTCTATACACGAACTTGGCTGAGGCCTTCGCTGCATTCCGTTGTCTAGATCAGCCAATCCAGTAATTGTCGTCATGACCATCCGTCTATGTCTTGGGATATGATGTCCTGTACCAACCATATCAGTGAACTTAACCAACCGGTCTCATGGTCTCTTACAGGCATAGTCACCTCATATGGCAAACTTGAGATACTGACGTCTCTTCTACCGGGATCTTCATGGATCCGGTCAAGCCATGAATCGTCTTACGATACTCTCCTATGAGAAATCACCATTACAAGGTTATGACGCTCGAGACAACGCGCTCCCCTATTCAGATTTGAATGGCCATCCTGAGGCTCGATATCATCGCAGCTGATTATCAACGCCCTCGAATTCAGCCTGATATTCCATATCAGTTGGCACGTCTTATCCCCCCTCGCCATGGTCAGCCTACACCATTCTAATAGACGATTTTACGGGGGAGTTCGTCGGTACAAACGGCAGATGTTCAATGTCTGAAGATGATTTCTATCGTCATACGGGGCTCGCCAAAGTACTACACTGGTGTCGTCCCATATTCTACAAGGAACTGACTGCCTATACAACAGTGGTTTTCGTTACTCGGGACACCGCTTGTGTGGTGGGAGCTTTTGACCATGTGATCGGAAAGACTGCTGTATTTCCTGTTCTGCACAAGGGTGAATTACACATCACGCCGAGATTGCTGTTTGTAAACTAGACTACCATGCTGACTTTGGTACAGGCTGATCTTATGCGAGCCGTGCAAAGCATTTACGGTAGTAGTCAATGACTATACCTGCGGTCTGTCGCATCTTCACAACTCCTTTTATCGTCGCATCGATACCGGAATGCACAGCACTTTTTCCGGGGCCTAGGCGATGGAATCCATCGTCTCTTCACCATTTTTACACGTCGTCAATCAACCTGGCAGGACGAGTCATCCCTCAAGACGAGAGTTGGTAAATATCGACACTTTGTTT